GGGGGCTTCTTCTCCAGTCGACGGCGGTGCTCAGCGGCTGGCGCGTCGGGCAGGGCGCGCTAGCAGATGGCGGTGTGCGGCGGCGCTGCTGCTGGCCGGGGTCGGCACGCCACGGTGGCGCGCGCGGGCTGGCGGCAGCCCGGCGCTCTGTTCGTGGCGGGGTTGGCCGGCCAGATCTGCGCTGGCCGGAGGTGGGGAGCGACGGTTGGAGCTCGGCAGGAGGCCCTGCGGTGCGGCGGGTCTGACGGGTGTCTGCAGCAAGGTGTTGGCGCGGTTGGGTGGCTGCAGCGCCGTCTGGTAGCAGCACGGCGAATCCGCGGCCAGGTGGTGAAGACGGCGCTGTGAGGCTCGGCCAAGATGGAGTCTTGGCGAGCAGCGAGCGGGCGGCTTCCTCTGTGCGGTGTGATGAGCGGCGGTGCTCTCCCGGTGGTGCAGCTTGGTTTCGTGGAGATGCGGGTCCAGCCGTCGCAAGGCTATCCCTTGGAGTGGGCGATGGCTGTTGTTGGCGTTGTGGGCCTCGCCGGAGGTGTGGATGGCTGCAGTTCCTTGTCGGCGAGGTGTTGATGGTGTGGCCGGTGTGCTCCTTCCCGTGTTTCCGGTCGTCTGCTCTCGGCTTGGCAGCTACGTTTGGTGAAGTGTTGCGGTGGCGGCGGTGTGAAGCTTCTGGGACGGTGTTGCCAAACTCTAGGTGGTGTGGTGAGGTGCGACGCGCGGATGAAAATCTTGCACGACTTCCGTCGGCTGGCGGCGATGGCATCCGTGGATGTCATTCCCCTCCTTGGAGGCGTCGTCGAAGCGTGTTCGGCATGTCCCTCGCTTGCTTGGAGTGGTGGTGGTCTCCGGGGCGAAAGCCTTGATTCGGTTGGATCGGCACAATGGCGGCGTCCTCGACGTCGTTCCTCTGCTGAGAGCATTGTGTTTGGAGACATGGCCGGCTCCTCGTCGCTCTCCTCCGGTGTTCGCCGTTGTCCTCCTTGATCCTTGGCGGCACTATGTATGCCCGTCGCCGGTGTGTCCCAAGACAACATCTTCCTCGACCGGATCGAGTCCTGCTACCCACTTGCCACTTCTCCTAGGCGATAAGAGTGGATGGTGCGTCGACAAGTGAAGTGTTGCGGAAGTTGGTGTTCTTCGGAGATGTCCGGTTTCGGTCGAGACGCGGTGTTATGTGTCAATGAGGATAGGCTCTTTGCTTTGTAGCTTGCTTTGCGGTGTTGGCCGTCTTTGGATTGGCTTGGGTGTGGTGTTTGTACTATGCTTGTTGTTCGCGACAAGTGTAGTTTCTTGTAACTCAAATTCTGCCTTCTATAAAGCTATGATACGCCTAGGCGTACTCTCGAAAAAAAAAACCGTATCCGACCGTGTGTGGGTAATACCCACTGGTAACCCTTACCCGTCTTGGACACCTTTTAAATTATATTTTGACACGTTTTTTCAGCTTTTCAATATGTATTCAAAAGATGTTGACCATGCATTCAAAAAATGTTAGCCAAGTATTTGAAAATGTTAAATGTGTATACAAGAAATGTTGAAAATTCATTAAAACTTTTGTATTAATCTTGTATTTAAAATTTTAAATATGTATAAAAATGTTGACCATGTATTAAAAAATATTAATCGTGTATTTAAAAAATATAAATCAAGTATTTAAAAAATAGTAAAACAATGTGTATGAAAAAATGTTGACCATATACTAAAAAATTAATATTATTTTTAAAAATGTTTAACATATATTAGAAAAATGTATTATATATAACAAATACGTTCCATGTGTATGAAAAAAGTAGACCTAAAAATGCAAATCATGTATTTCAAAAATGTTTAATGTGTACTCCCTCTGTAAAGAAATATAAGAGTGTTTAGATCACTAAAATAGTGATCTAAACACTCTTATATTTGTTTACGGAGGGAGTATATAATAACCGTTTCTGATGTACTACACAAAACATATTGAATGTATTCTGAGAAAAAGTTAACATGTGCTGATTTTCTTTTATGAAAAAAAAGAAGGCAAAAAACTAAAAAAGAAATAAAGAAAACCAAAGTATAACAAAGAACGAAAGATAACAAGTGAAAAACGAAAAGAAAACCAAATTTATAACAATGAAGAAAAACCTGTAAGAAACAGGTGAAGAAAATGGAAAATAAAGAAAAAACAAAGAAAATTAAAGAAACACAAGAAAAAATAGAAAAGAAAACAACCAAGCAAAAGCCGGTAAAAATGAAGAAAACCGGTGAAAACAATAAAACCAGAGATGTAAAATAAGAAAGCCAAAGAAAACCATTGAAGAAATAGAGAAAACCGAAAAACAGGAAAAAATGAAACAGGAAAAAAAACAAAGTGAAGGGATCGAGCGCAACTTGTTCACTTTGGTTGCGCAACGGCCTGTCCTATACTTTAGCAAGAAGAAAAAACCTTCAGCAAGCCGAGCATACGTCTCGCTATAAGTAAGATATAGTCCTGGCGCCCCCCACCCCGCACGGCTCGTTCACCAAAACTGTTCAAAATTTGTAAACAAATGTTCATGAATTTGAATAAATTCATGGATTTCAAAATTTCACGAAGTAAACAATGTTAGTGAACTTATAAAATGTTAATGAATTTTAGAATTTTTTGTGAATTTTAAAAAAGATTGTGTATTTGAAAAAAAATGTTTATAAAGTTGAAAAAAAATCAGAGTTTAAAGCTTTCTAATTTTGATAAAAAAATATTGAATTCGGAAAAAAAGTTCACTGCTTTAAAAAGATAAAAAAATAATAAACAAGAAAAAAGGAAGAAAGCCCGAGCAAAAGACAGCAAAAAACTGGTTCGAAAGCTTCTAGAACCTTCACAAAACCAAAATTGTGCCATGGATTATGCTACGCAGTGCGATACAAAGATGGGTCAGCCCATTATGTAGAAGGAGTGCGTGCCAGTTAGCGAAGACACCTAGAAGTGGCGCTTTTGATGCCAAATAAGGTTTGGCACTCCTCCCCGAAGGGATGTTGCAGAAAATATTTACAACAGAGGATGTGTTGCAGAAAACGTTGTTGACCGTTTTCTACCATAATTTTTGCAACAGAGCTTGTGTTACAGAAAACTTTGCAACAAAGGTAATATTGTAGAAAATATTTACAACATAGGATGTGTTGCAGAAAACGTTGTTGACCATTTTCTACCGTAATTTTTGTAACAGAGCTTGTGTTACAGAAAACTTTTTACAACATCAGACTTGTTGCAGAGAGCATTCTAGTGATAGTTGTGTGCAGCTTGTCGGAGAAGCTCGTCGGCGTGCTTGCCGACACCAAACGAGGGTGACGGTGGTTGGAGCAGCACGGGGAGGCGACAACTTGACGAGGGAGCTCGGTCTCTCTGGTTGCACGCCTTGCAATAACATGTAGCTTGCTAGAGAAGCTCGTCTTCGTGCGTGCTAGTCAGCGGCGACTCGACGGGAGCTTGGTGCAGTTGGAGCAGCGAGGTGAGGCGGCAGACTCAACGGGAGCTTGACAGGAGCATGAGAGGCGACTTGTCTTAAGAATCCAGATCGTGCAATAGAGCCATTGTTGCGATCAGAGAGATTGCAATAACAGACCGGTTGCAAAAAGTAGTGGTGGTGGCCATGGGGCACGTGGCGTGCAGAGAAAGCGGCAGGCTGCGATCTGCCGGATGATTTATAGCATTTTCCTTTTTACAGTAGTTTATGATTTTTTTAATAAGAATGATTCATTTTGGTATTTCATTTAGAAAGGGTTTTTTAGGGAAAAAAAGGTTTGTAGTACGTGC